CAATTTCTATTCAATTTGAGGTCACATTTGGTATTAAGCTCACAATGCACATTAGAGTAGACTTAAGTATCACATCTAAGAGGTCTAAAGTAAAGAGCTATTTTTTTGTACATTATACAGTTTATGCATACACATATATACCCCATGGTATTTTGCTGTAAATTTTCTCTGGAATTAATATTATAGCTCTACTAGAATCATGACCTCAAATTATATTGTGTAACTAATGCTTTCTATGTGTTTTTTTGCGCTAATTATTACAATTCACAACAACTGTTTCAGACATGGGGGGTGGTAAACACTAAAAGTCACATTTTTTTGTTCCCCCTTTTAGATGTGTTGTCTGTTAGCACAATAAAAGTAAAATCTTATACCATATTACTAATGTTGCAATAATTTCTAAAACAAATTACTGCTGTATGTAAGAGTTATGTACTGTATTGACAAAAATCTGGTAATACCCTTGATAATGTGTCAAATGTGAAAAATCTTATATTCACTATCAAAGGCAATATACAGTAATGCTATTATGTATATGTGTATATTTGCAAACATGCCAAGTAGTAATTAAGTTGTGCACTGTCTTTAGGTTTAATAAAGAGACCGTAGCTGCAGCCTGTATACCTTCACATGCTGTACAAGAAACTTTCTAGTTAAGGTCAATTGCAGGCTTGGTTTCGTCAGACTTGCTCCGGTTTAAGTAAGTGTGAGTGCCTCTGTGTTTCTCCGTCTACAGAGGGTTGGGATCAGTCATGCTGCAGGAAAGTCGGCCTAAGCCTCGCCTTGAGCCCGATCAGTCTAAGCAGCTTTCGTCATATCAGGTGAACACACAGAGCACAATTCATGTTTCCACACATTAAAGTTCAGCAAAATCCTCCGGGATTTGATAGTTTTGAAATACATATCAGCTAATAACCTTTGGCAATGTGTTTGGAAATGCATTGGGAGTACAGTAAAAGTTGTGAAATATGTACATACCGAAAAACAAGAGGTCTTTGGGTGGGTTGCCGCGGGTGATGAGGAAATAGAACAGGAACACTACGACCAGCACAGCCACACCAATCTCCAAGATCACGTAAGGCCTGTGTTAGACAAATCACTGTTATTCAAGAATAAATAAGTCCAACAGTTCAGGGCTCTATTTTTGTAATAGAGATGAAGTTAGACAATGTAATATGGTTCTTTTCTGCAAATATGATTCAGTAATTATTTCTTTAGTAGTTTCTAGGAATATGTGTTTGTAGTTGTGTATTGTGAATGATAACAACATCTTTTAATTATTGACACCATGCACTCTCAACAGCAATCTCCCCCATTTTCTGCTTCATTCTCCTAACTAATTATCTTCTCCCTTGAAAGCTGTGCCAGTCTAGAGTACACTACTAAATCAGTAAATGATGATGAATGGGCAGCAGGAACAATATATACACAACACAGTCAAGTTTAAGATAAGGTGAACAAATAAGAAGGGATCTCTTTTGACCTTGGTGTGGTAATTGTACTGGACTTGAAACAGAGGACAAACTCATATGAACTTATCTACGGCTTTGTCTTCCTTTAATATCCTGCTTTTATAAAACGTTTTCAATTAGCTTCTGAGTGCTGTGGGGCATTCATATTTTGTCTTCCTCAAGGACAGAGTGAGAACGACAACTATCCAGGCAGCCATATTGCAAAATTTTCAGTCATCTATATATTCTAGTGTCTTGACCTTGTTGTACATTGTGCCATCAGCAGCTCCTCTTTTAGAATGTATGAATGTGGGAATGAGAATTACTAGTGCTGCATGAGATCAAGCACTGCACTGGTATGCAGCTTCTACCAATGCTCAAAAGGATGTGGTTGTTTACTTAGATAATCCTTCTTGTTACTTCTAATTTAAATGAGATTACAAATAAATTACAATTAAATAGATTCATAAATATATTACAGTAATAATATAAATCAATTTGACAATATTGCCTGTGTTCTAATAATATTTTGTATTTCATATGCAGGAAAACACACTACAATATCCTATTTAAACTTAATCCTCTAGAGTGGGCTGTTTACATTTACTTTAGAAGTTTTCATATGGTGAACTGGGTACTGTACCAGTACTCGAGTACACCACCTCTGCTCATAAAATCTGGCAAGTATTAATTAACAGATACTTTTACACTCCACAGTGGTTTCAAAAGCAGTTTTAGTTAAGTCTAATCAATCACAGGGACAGGGTTGGGGAGGGAGAAGCTCCAGCCGTGTTAGCCCGAGCCTCTGTGTTTACTGGTCAAAGGTAGAGCAGCATTGCAATGGGAAAGATTTATGTGCACAAGGTATCTGGAGGTAAACAACATTACATCCTCTCAAACTCACAATGTGCAAGAAAAACAAATCCTGTAAGTGCAAAAGGCGTGCTCCCCGGCTGCTCCTCCAATTCAACACCCATGTGGGAAGATTTATGCACAGAATGCGGTTTGTTTGTGCAGTGGAAGAGTGCTAGGCATATTGTGCGTCAAGAGCAATTTATCAAACTCTTCTCTGCGGTCTGTATTGTCAATGTCCATACTTTTTTACTACCCAAAAAATGTGGTAGAGAGGTTTACACAAACTAGGAAATAAGTAAGAGAAGCATAGGACAGTAATTCAATACCTTTTCATTCTGCTCAGTATGCAATTAGATAGTTTTTTTTTTTTTTTTTTTTTGTCATATATCATCTGAGACAACTGTATATGCTTTTGAATCTTTGTGAAGTTGCTGAGCATAAGTGTATTTTATGACTAAAGAAAGTTAATCGTTTAGTTTTATTATTAAGAAATGACATTGAAATGCAGAGTGCAGCAGCTCATACAATGTAAGTCTGACCTCTAGTGGTGACACCTGCAAATGCAGTTCCCTTATCTTTAAAAACAACAAACTGTACTTTCTGCAAAGAGTTGGACTCTCATTTCAATTTGTTATAAGAAAATAGTAAAATTTTATCTTTTTAAAAAATATATATAATTTAGTGTTTTACTGCAAATGCAAAATGTATAAAAATGAAAAGAAAAACAATAGGTCTTCACTTACTCTTGGAACTCAGGGGTGACATTCATGGCATAAAGGACGCCCAAAGCAGTGAATGAGAATAAGAACACAAACGTCTCCATCCTTACACGACCTGTAAAAGAAAATACAATTTAGTAATAACTGAAAATAAATATTAAACAGCCATCATGTTACTGGTTAGCATAAGTAATGCAGAGAGTAACCTGAAGAAAGAAGTCCTAGTAAAAGAGAAGAAAGTGCAGCTCTCTGAGTGGTGACCCTTTTGGTGGATTAATCAAATTATAGCTGGCCTGAGGCAACCATGCCCTTTAGTGGGAACATAATGATGTGGGACAAAGGAGCTTTGGGGACCAAAGTTATGCAATTTGGTTTTGTCAGAGATTTGCATAAATCTTATTAGAACAGGCCCACATTCCACACACAATTAAAGTGTAAGTGTGTTTGTGCGGTTCAGACTTGTGTGTAACAAGTTTCTATTTATTATTCTATTCAATTCTATTGATGTATTTATTTTTACGAGGACATGTTGGTATTAATGCACAGACCAGATAACTGGACCACCAATTTTCACCTGTTGTCCTTGTGTGAATAATATAGGTACAGAGAGATATCATTCTGGACTTGCCAGGCATACACTATGTGGTTACAAAGGGTATTGTTAGTTTAAATTACCTACATTTTACATGTAATAATAATGATGCATTAGTGATATATAGATAAGATGCTCAAAGGAGCAGTATTCATTCACTCTGTACCTGGTGGTAAGCTTGTATATAGTCACAGCTATCCTCAGGTAGACTGACAGAAGTGAAGTTACAAATCAATTTTGTGTTATCATCTCTTTAGATGATTACAGACATAGGCTAATCAACTTTACTATTGGTGGGCCATTCCCTACTACCTCATGAATCAGAGTAAAATGTATTATGGTTCAGTAGTTTATGATTTTGTTTTGTTTTTTGCATTTATTTACATACATTTACAATTAAGGCAGAACATTTTCAGAAATCCAACTAGACTGTTTTTCAGTCAAAAATCCACAACCAATACCAGTCTCACACCAGTAGGAGGCACCATACTCAAAGTATTACAAGTCCAATTGGTGTTTTTTTAGTTTTAAAATGTGGTATTAAATATTTTACCCGTAAGCTAGGCTATTTTATCACATTATATGCAATTATTTTCCCATCACTTAAGCTGCAATGTCCAAATTACAACATACAAACTTCTGAGCTGCGTTAAAACTGTACCAGTGTGGTGATGCACCAGAGCTGCATTTTTAAGAAGCAGCAGATATGTGCACGGGACCACAAGCATATACACACTTCCCTTCCGCTACTTTTGTTGGGAAAAGGGGATTGATATACCAGGAAAGCAACAGCACTGCCTCTTTGCTGGAAACAACTGGACCTCTTCCAGCAATGTCGTTCAATAACTCAGAATAGATGGACGCCAAATGCAACCTGCAAAGAAACAAAGGATGTCATAAATAGTAAGTTATCTGATAAGAACAGACTAATGCAAACACTAGGATATTCATTCTTAACATAACATTTTGTTAAAGTTGTTGCCCATAAGCAAATTTTAATTTGGGGAAGGAGGACGTTCGCTATCATTACAGTATAGCAGGTAGTATACCACTATAATAGGTAGTATAGCACTACCTAACTCCGATTAGTCCATTAATAACTGAGTATGAAATGAACATATGAATAGGCCTACCTTGGGCCCATGCAGTCTTAGTCACATACTCTCGTGTCACATGTAGGCAGCCTACATTATGTTTTAACTCACGTGTTATTATTAAGTAGCGTATTGTATATTGTCATTGAATTCATAAGCTCAGATCCATGAGTGCACATTGTGCTGAACTCTAGCCTAGTGAATCGCTGTTGGAGCGCTGATCAACAAGCGGCACTGTGCGTGACGACAGCGGCGGAAATATTTTTTCGCTTTTCAAAATGGCACCGTCTCAATAAGGAAGTGGAGAAAACAACTAGAAGAAGAATAAGTTGGATAAAATCCGTATTTTCTATCAATTCCATGCGACTCTTTGGTTAAAGCGACTTCACGTAAAAGGCCTTTGGACTGGGACTGTGTAAAACTGAAAAGGTAAGCGTTCTTCGAGGATTTAGTGAAAATCGAGCGACACATCGGCAGTGTTTCCCAATAACAAGATGCGACCAGGGCAGCCTTTTCTGGGGACGTATGATTTCAACTACGGACTACACCGGCTTTTAGAAGCGCCGATCACCAACCATTATATTCACATAGATAACTCAAAACAATAGAATACTATTACAGTACTTGAGAATAAAAATGTATGCTAGTGGTGAAAAGACGAGTAACAACCAGGCGCTGTTGAAATGTAGTAGTTACTTAGTAATGAGCCGATACCATTCTCTTAATAGCTGCTGAATCGATTTGCTCTTTGGGTATAAAGAACTCTGAATTTAAATAATTTTCAAATACATTACATTGATACATTGATATTGTTAGGTTTTTTTCAGTTACGTGGGATATAACATGGCATCATTATTTATTACATTGGCATGCAATGTACAAAACGAGCATACCCAAGTCAGAAAAAGGCTAACATCTATGCTATCGAAGCTAATACTTTTAGCTAGGAATACTACGTTTTATATCGCATAAATCTTGTAGTTTTATGGAATTTCTCATACTCCATCGTGGGTTGACCCAGTGTGGTTTCAGACAAAGGAGATATACCGTGTAAATGAAAGCGTTTTGATGGTTAATGTTTGTGTTTGTCGGCCGACATGCTAACAGTACGGGCTGTAACAGAGCCCCAGAGCTGTGACTGCTGTTCTTTGTGCTTCGTGGACAGCGGTGATAGTGCTGTTTCTGACCGGTATTTGGCCGACAAAAACATTCAAATCATTTCACTATTAAATATTATATAAGAAATACATGTGTTTTGATCACTCTAATATGATAGGATGATCATAACTGTTTAATACATCGCCGGAAAACTCAGGTTAAACTCATGAAGTCGCTTGTGTGGGAGGTTATCACTTCACCAATCTTTAGTTTCGTTTTTTCTTCATAAGATGGGTATTGTACATAACCAAGTTAAATAATACTATATAATTACATCTTTGTGCTTTTGTTGGCAGTGAGCTTATTCACAAAGACATCAGTTAATAAATGTTAAAGGTTGCCTCACATGCTTTTGTCAGATTATTAGAACTAGGAGTGTCCAGGAGGAAATGAAAACCTGACCCTCTATTTTTCTCCCTGCAATGTTCACTCTTTAGTTTCCACTGAGTGCACTGCCTGCAGCTAAGGCTAGCCGAGCCTCATACCAGGCTCAACTCATTGGAGGTTTCCCTGGATACTAGGTATTTATCCAATTATGTAATTTCCGACTTGTTGATGGGAGACTTTTTGTGTTTGTAAAGTGGATGGCACGCCTGGCTCTTGTCCCTGCTTTTAATTGAGTGCTGCCGTTAACCCAGAGCAACACGACCAATGGCCTCGGTCACTTGCATTCTGCTTGGTGCATGTGCCTAATTTCTGAAGGGAACACAGTCTTTAGGTGAAGTAAGTGTTTTAGGTGGATGGTCCAAAACCTTATTTTCTCTGGAGATTTTGCCTGGAAATTTTCCATAAAATGACACAAAATCCCCCGTGGAGACAAGTAGGTGAAGGATTTTTTGGCAATAAAATAATAAGATTATACCGTATTGTGGGTCATCCCAGGCAAATCAGTCATAGTTTCATGACATAATTAACTTTTTAAAGATTATTTATGGTTATGGTCATCCCGAAAGTCATAATGTTTGAACTTTTATTTACACAAAGTTGTTCTGTCACTCCATGAGGATAATTAACAGGTACAACACATTTGGCTCAGTTTTGTATTATTTTTCTAGGAAATAAATGCTGCTTTCAGTCTCTGCACTGGCACTGGCTGTTATCGGGTATCGGCTGACACTTAAAGCTACGTTACCAGAATCAGTATCGTTCAGAACTGAAAAAGCTGGGTCGGTGCTTCTCTAGTGACAGACCCTCATTCAGAAAACTTACTGCACCTTTAATTAAACTTGTTGAACAACATGGGGTGCTGCTTGTGTGTTGGTTCACACCCGCTCATCAGGGAGTACAGGGAGAGAGCAGATCATGTTTGTCTACATTTTGCCTGTCGCTAGCTCATATAAACAAATTGTACTAGTGACTTTGGTATAGTATTTCCTTTGTAATTAAAGCAGCCAGTTTGATTTACAGTGCGTGGTGTCTTATATTTAGTTTGATGGTGTATGGTTCAAAGTGCTGTGATCCATGGCCTGTACGCCTGCAGCCCTGCTCCTGACACAGTCTCCTCTTGTTTCGTCTCTCCCGGGCCTCCCCTCTGCCCCTCACTGATGCTAGTGATAAATCTCATTTATAGCCCGTAGGCTGATTGGGCAGAGAGTAAGAACTGTGGGCTGGGGGAGGGGGACACACAGAGCTAGGTAATAAGTTTCATTCAGTTCCTGCTTTCCTGGATCCACTTCTCATTTGATAATAGTTCATGCATTAAACATGGCAGAGAAGTGAGGTCAGGCAGATGACAGCTTTGGAATATGTGACCACTGACCACAGAGCATAGAACTGCTGTATATGCAAAACTGACTGACCCATACTGGAGGCACAGTACAAATCAAATCAAAATGAAGTGAAACTAAGTACAATTTGTAATTGCCAGTATATTTGAAATGGCTGCTGAATTACTGTCACATAGTGGACACTGTTATTGTCCATATCTACACAGTAGTCATATTTGATCAGAATTACTCTAAAATAAAAGGCAGTGTAAAACATTTTGCTTCTTTTGTTGAGGAGTTGTAAAATGGCAAATTTCTATTCCAGTTCAACTGTCCACAGCTCTAAGCTGAGAAAAAATACATTTTTAAACTCAAATTCCTACTGTGAGTGGGTCGCCTCACTACAGCTCTGAGATGTAACTTGGCCTGGTGGTGTAACTTGTTTGTCTCCATGGAGATAAATACTTTTGTAACATTACAGGCAAAGCCACAACAGTCCCATGCAGACAAGATGGTGACACTCAAAAAGTTACATACTGCATATTACTGTATGCTGCTAGTGGACTTTACTAGAAAGAAAGATAAAATTTCGGTGTTGGACACCTGTTGACGTGGAGCACAGAGACAAGACAGACAATTCAGTCCAGTATTAGGGAACTCTAGTCATACGTGATCTAAAACTTGTCTGAGCTTCAGTGTGTGCTGTAATGCTTGTCTGTGGAAGTGTAGGATCAGGAGGTGTCTGGGTGAAAACAGGGAAGCAGCTGCGTCCAATCAGCTTCAGGATCCTCTGAGCCTAGGGTCAGCCGAGGAGAGACGAAAGGCCCTGAAGCAGAAGACATATGTTCTATAGGCGTATCCAACCATTCTGAGCACTGCATGTACAGAGGCCCTAAACTGTTGTTGGTCAAATAACAGGCTGTGTAAAAGAATGCAAAGTAAACACTAAACATGTCATAGATGCTCCATGACACAGTGTATGTGACTTAAGAAAATAAACAATTGTACTGGTAACTCAACTGATGGTGGTTGTCAAAGTGAGCCAGTTGAGTAAAACAAACAAGATTCAAACAGTTGCTGTAAGAAAGACCTATTGTCTTTTGGGCCCAGCTATCAGGAGCAACAATCCAGAGCAGAGGAACTTGAGACAGTGTCATCTGTGTGTGAAGACAGGAGAAAGAGGAAGCAGGCAAGTGGATCTTTGAAATCGCAGCCTTTGATCTATTCTGGTGCCGACAACATGGGCACTAACCAACTGCTCCTTAAACGAGAGCGATCAAGCTGCTGGAAGCCATTGTGTGTCATCTTCTCTCTTGCATCTGCATTCACCTGTGTCCTCTCCACTGCTCCTCTACTACTCTCTTGCTACTCACCCCTATCCTTTCATTTACCACAACAAAAGCTTCCTCCAAGGCCACAAGAGCTCAATTAAGTCCCCTCTTTGCGGATAAATCAGGTTAATGTCTCATCAGTTGGTGTTTGTGGGTTCAAAGGTATTCATCATGGGGCAAAGTGGTGCTGAGCGGCCACTCGCACACAAAACATGAGGATGGAATGGAGATGAATTGTTTTGTCCGCGCAGTAAGTAAGTAGTCTGATCTTTGAATGTGGGGTTGAATCATTCAGAGCCCTTTTGTTCACTCTGATAAATATTTGAAAAGGCAAAATGCAATAACAACGGACGTTAAAATTTTAATCTGTTTTCTTGTTTTTGATAAATGTGGATTCTCATACATTCAGTCATGCTTCCAACTGTTTACAGTCTTCCGCTATCAATATTTGTGAACAAAAATGTCAGCTGGTAAATTAAATAGGTTATATTTCTCTTGCAGATGTGCTTAAGGCTGTTTGTGGCATACTTGTGTGTTAAAAAGGCGCTATTCAATAATGCACGGCTGTTTTGAATGGCGCTCTGTGTTTCTCTGGGAAGTTGTTCCTTTTATGAATATTTTATCATAGCTGCTAATGAATCCAGCCAGTGCGGAGCAATCATAACCAGCTAACTGTAACCCGATTACCGTGAAGCTGATGGGGCCCAATGGGTGCTGAGTGGCATTTGTACATCAAGTTGAATGATTGTTGTGAGTTGGGGTGTTCCGATTGACAGCTTTGGCAGTCACGTGCTCTTACTGTAAGTGCGGGAACCGTCTGCATACAGTAGTACCAGTATAAACAGTAAGTAACCTGACCTACTTATTCTGAGGAGCAAGCACACATCTCCAGCTCAAGACAATGGCTATTTTTATATTCACACAAGTCATCATTCAGTGCATATTTGGAAGAGTACACCATACTCTCTCTGAAGTTGAATTTTAATAGTGACAATCCATTTATTGCACAACCCTACAGCAAACATAGAAAATGGACCTTGTTAAAGTTAAGAATTATCTTTTTGTAAACATTTAATACCGTGACTTTGTACACACCTGCTTAAGAGCCGCTATTGTTGGATATAATGACTACATAGTTGCTTAACGTGAAGAATTGGAACAGTTAGACTGTCCTTAGATTTTCATTTAACTTGAAAGAGTGTTACAGCCTGTTGTGAGTCACTACTGTATACAACTCTTATCCCATTATAGAATTCCACTTCTGTGAAAATGAGCACTGCTTTTGCTTTTAAGTGTGTTTTAAATGTAATAATGAAACACACATGCCCAGTCACAGACATTGTTTTACTTTTAATTTGCGATTTCATACTAAAACTGAGGAACTGAAAATAAAACATTTTTATTTTGGTTCTAGATTAATCATTTTCAGAAGAAGTATTCTTTTTATTTGATCTTTTATAGCTCCAATGTCATCATACTAGAAAAAACAACAACAAATGTGCTCAGTATAAATTGAGCCCCAAAAGAAAATGTTCCTATATTGTATTGTAATTAAATTGACACAGTAATTGTTGTGACAGTCCTAAATCTAGTCCCAGTTAAATTACAGGTTTAATCCCAATTTGGATCTGTTATTTGTACAAAATTTTTCTCAGCTCAGTTATATATCTGCTTGTTCTAATGTATTAATACAAGCCAACAGAGTAATTTGCATGCTGTGAGGATGCAAATGTGGAAGTGTGTGTCTGTGTGCTTGTGTGTGTGATGTGTGCGTGTTAGCGTCTCACATGCAGTACGCAGCCGAGGTGTGGTGCCTGCCCTCGTGAGCGCTAATCGTGACTGAGCCGCTTAAGGACATCACACTTCCTTCTGTGCTCCTCATGTGCTGGGGCATTGCTTCACTCCACAGCGCACACAGAGACAGGAGGACAAATGCTAATGCTAGGAGACACGCAGCCAGCTAAAGGGACCAGCTGCCTGCAGTGCGTGCGTCTATAGTCATTTATAGTCTGACACACTGGCTGCCCACGCTTTAATGGTTATAAAGAATTGACTTGAATGAGCTTTTGCGGGCCACCCGTGAGTCAGGAGAGGGGGGTTGAAGAGGGGGGTACCTTTTGAAGGAAGATTTAACAGATTAGGCATTGGAACAGTGATTGTGAAGAGGACAGCTATCCACACAGGAGCAATTAAATGTAACTTTGACTAACGAGAACCACGATTTAGTCCCTGGTTTGGTCTTACTTTGGACCTTTGTGCATGGAAATTTGCCTATAACTTTCTACATGCTTATTTCATCGACACAATAATCATAATCAAGTTCTGTTACCTTGTGCACTGTTTGCCAAACCTTCAAACCTCTTTTTCATCATCTGCAGCCAAGACGCTGCTCTGAGACAAAAGCAATTAATTTGGAAGATAATCATGTCATGTGAGAATCTCTAATAAAAGCAGGAATGGTTCAGTGTTGTATCCTGTTACAGTGCTATAAATGACCTTTCCCACAAATGACACTTTCTGTTGGCCCTCAGTAAAAAGTGTCAGTCTCAAACCCTGGTGAGCCTTTTTGTAAAGACATCATTATGTTTGTGTACTCTGGCCTGTTGTGGTCCTGTGTGTACTTTCCCTAATAATGTCTCTGTCTCATTTCCTAAACTGCTCCTCATTTGTTCCTTTGCTCTGTCTCCGTGCAGATAAGGAGGAGGAGCGGGGGGTTGCTTGTTCCAGTATTGCAACGCGTTACAGGAAGGGGCTATCTGGGACCTCTCTTATTATAATCACTATTGATTAGCCTCCGCACTCTGCTCGAGTGACGGGGACAGCAAATGACAGACATTTTTCTGTTGCTAAGAAACACTGGGCTTGGGACTGATGGGTGACACATTTGTGGGCGGGAGACAAAACAAGGCCACAAGACATTTATGTCAATGTATGTGCTTTGGCAAAAAGCATGCATGCATATATGTACTGTATGTAGTTAAAGCTAAAATAAAATATGGTGATGCTTTCTTTGTAAAGAAAATACTACAAGACCACAGGCAGGTTCAGCTGAAGCTGTCATGCCTCATAGAGATACATTATATTAGAAATTGTCTTTTGTAGTCCATGTGAACAACGTGCATTTAAATGTGTGAGTGGAGCTGAGAGGAGCAGCTGTACAGAGACTGTAGTCTGAGCCTGAGCTACACTACTCTAGGAGATGGTCTCAAGCTTCTGCAGTGACATCAGTGAGACCTGTTACCCTGCTCCAAATGTGTGCCACACACTCCACTGCTCCTGTCCATGTTAGAACTTGTCAGTGCTGCTCTCACAGTAATCCCACTGTGACGTCTATAGAGAGGTGAGGGAGCTTTGGTGAAAGACAGCAAAATATGTGGAAAATGTGATCTCTTAATATGTTGTATATTTCATGTAATTCTATAGTCATTTAATGTGCTTTATTTGTTACTGATCTAATTGTGTTATCAATATCTGTTAGTGTAGATAATTACAGCAACAGTATCAACATTATTGGGAGTGAAATTAGAGAAGTCTGCCACTGGGTTTAAGTTTGGTTATTTGATGAGAATTGCCAGCTCTCTTTGTGCATTGCCCACATTAACAGCGTCGGTAGTGTGGTGGTGGAGAGTGTATGTGCTGTGACTTCAGGTCTGTCTCACATGCACAAACGCCCCCCACACAAAGAGCCTTTTATTTGGACTCTCATGAACTCTATTAGGATTTATTAGTCCAGTGTTGTCTCCAGTGAACACAGCTGTCCAGTGCCAGACGGCTCTGAGTGAGGAAACAGGGTGTATAGGGACAATTGTGAGATATGTGCCAGGAAAAACAAACAGTCAGTAATGAGGAGGTCTAGGTGAAAAAGATGTGTAAAGGTGTAATAAAAATAAATGTATGCTGTGAATCTAAAACGTTGTGGATCTTGTATATAATCAAAATCTCTCTGTGTGTGTAACATTTGAGTGAGGCCAGCGTATGTACGTTTCACAGTCTTGTGAGTCTGGAGCAGCCATACAGCTGTCAGTTTATGTGACATATGTGCAACTTCACATGTAAAACACCGTCATGGTTGGTAAATTTAGAACAGAAAAACTCATCTTCAGGACTTGTGTACTTGTGTGTATGTATGTACCCCAAATACTTTACAAACTTCTGAAATATTTGAGGATGTTCCATTTAAAATGCTTAAAGATTTATGCAGTGTCCCAACTTTTATTCAAGTTGTGTTTGATGTTTTTATTTTTAGTTTCCATCTCTCTGGGCCTGTTCCCCTGCAGATCACACTGCTCTGTGTAGGCTCCATGCTGTGATTTTGATAGGTTTTTGATGTGAATGACAAATCGTTTGAGGACAAGGCAACTTTCAGTAAATAAAGCCTCTGCTAATCTGATTCAGTTTTGTCTGATTAAATACGATTAAAAAGTGGTTATGGTTCTCTCCTGCATCACTTGAAAAAGTCATTGTGTTTCTGTTCCACTGATGAGCACACCTTTGATGTTCTCTGTCTCTTCCAGGTCATGGAGAGGATCTGCCTCTGTTAGACGATCTTTCAGACACAGGGCCAGTGTGCAGCGTTGTGGTGGAGTGTAGTGAGACTGAGCTGCTCGTCATGTTTGAAGCCTGATGCCCACCCTGCCCTCAGCGCTGGCCATGGACGGGGAGAGCTACCTGCATCCAGACGGCTCTCAGCTGGACAGCAGTCTGTTCTCCACGGCTCCATCCAACATGGAGGTAATAACTCTTGTCTTCTCAACAGCTCCAAATTTTATTGTTATCGGATTTTAATAATCGTTATCTCTAACCCACATGTCAAAGACCTTTTGTAACAAAGACAGCTGTCCTCAGTCACCATGCTTACCTTTATCTGGTCGAAAATATATTAAGAAAATATCAATGTAAAATAGAAATAATTGTTTGACAGGTTGACTAATCAAAAAAATAATAGCTGGCTAGTCGATAACTAAAATCATCGGTTGTGGTCCTGATTAATTATTTTTAATTAGAAACATGTTTTGCTTTGCACTCACTGTTAATTACTAAATCCTTCAAGGTATTATAAATTGATCTTTTATTTACATGTAATCAAATTGGTAATGTTCTACTTCTGTTCTGTGAATGTTCAATGCTGTTTAAAGCCACAAACCCACTACACAAAGGTCATTAATTAAAAGAATTAAAACAACTGGTACATATGTTATTTGCCTAAGATCACATTGTCTGTGACAGAACAGAACAGAACTCCAGATGTAATTTGCATAAAGTCATTCAGCTTCATCACTTGTCACTTAACTAATTACAAGAACAAACTATTTAAAACCAACACAGTGAATAGCCCAGCTACATGTAGGTGTACAGCTAAATGATAAGGAACCTATGAGTATTTTTAAATTTATATTTAACTGTGTTTCAGAGTTCATTGTTCGCCTCTTCTGGCTCCTGGGGACCCTACTCTCAGTCCAATGGATACAGCATCCACTGCCCTATGCAAACTGCAAACCAGTAAGTTCAGCACAAATATCAATACACAAATATCAAAACGGGTTGCCCTTATTTAGACATTCTTTCATTTCAAATTCATTCAACATTTCAAAATCATTAATTGTCAATAACGCTCTGGTTGAGATGTTTCAGTACTAAACTTGTGTTGATCCGGCTATGACGGCTGATGACTATGAAATGTTCCAATGCGACCACAACCACAGGAGTTTCTGTTCACACCTAAGAACCATGGCCTCTGATTGGAGTCATTACTGTTAGTTACTCTTTCTCTGCATCTGAGATGTTTGCAAAACCAAGGCAAAAAATATATATATATATATTTATTTGACTTATATGAAGAGTGAGACAGACGTTTTTTTGTTTCCTGTGGTGGGAGGCCTGGATGCCTACTTTTACATCTCAGTTTTATATGAAGTCACTTGTTAAGTTAATATTGTACAAGTGAAAGTAATGTCATAACAACTACATGAGGTCTGCTTTCTCTTTGGGCTGCATATAATTTTCATTTCATTTTAAGATCATTTCAGCTGCTACAGCTGCCTTATACAAGATGTGTTTTCTTGTTTGTTTTCTCATGTCTAGAGCTGAACGCATGACCCTGCTGCAGTCTCATATGAACAGTTATAGACATACCAGCCCAGTGAGCAGAACATTCAGGGCTGGGTTTGATAAAGGCATGCTTGAATAAAGCTACTGTACTGTAATAATACACAGATCTAGCAGCTTGAAGTTGAGCGATGTGGGAGTCGATGAACTTGATGACCTTTGGTCTCCATAAATTTTACTTCAGGTCTTATATGCATTTTTTTTTTGTGTATCCTGTATATTTATTGCAAAGCTCTATGCAGAACTAAAAACTAAATTAAATAAGTGTGAGAAAGGTCCCTTATCACTCAGTGCTGGTGAAACATGTCTTTTCTTTTACTTTGTGCATTCACAACTTCAGACTGTAACATGAGAGCGCAGCCTGTGGTTTTCAGGTTCACTCGAAAAGTGGAATTTGTGACATCACTTGTCTTTGAGATGTTTATCTGCATCAGAAAATGATGTGACCAAACCCACAATCGACTAGCAAAGAAGAAGATTTGAGAATTTAAGTGAAAAATCTAAATAAGAAACGTCTTTTGTAGATCCTTATCCTTTTTCTTTCAAATCTCTTAGGGCCTTTTCTTGCAGGATTGCTGGCTGTGGACTGACTCTTTACAGTTGAAATGTAATTGATTTAACTGCAGCCTTCAGTTGTCTGCTCACGTGGTCGTAAGGAACAAGCAAAGAGTAAATAGATCATATGACACCAGTGTAAAGGATGTTAATGGACCAGTGCCTTTGTAATTTCACGAATTCTGACATAGCAGTCCTTTAGAGTACTTCTAGTAGCTTGTACTTAGATAAATATTTGAAATAGCATAAAACAAATTGGTCCAAATTGCTAGTGACCTCTGACAAGGCACTGGTCCTGTCACGCAATATTACTGAAATTTTTTTCTATTGAGTCAAAAACTTGACAACGTTAAAGAATATAGCAAGACTAAACAAAACACGTCATGTTGTTGGTCCATAATTGACTTTCCTGCTTATGCAGCTCATCCCCATGCCTTGGGCTGAACTTGACTCACAGTTCAGGACTGTGTTGTAGGAGGAGATGAGTTTCATAATTGTTGGCTGGAAGAAAGATCCCTTCCAAAGAATTCAGGAGTGGGTTGGCAAATTAACACAAATAAAACTCTGTTACTACACTATACTTGAGAAATGTCTTGATATCAGTCAGTCACTAGTTTCTGGGCAGGGTTTTTTATATTTAACAGAAAATACAAAAACATACTAAAAGACATTTACATCTCCTTGCACTATGATAGAATTAGTGCTGCAACAATTCATGGGAGTAATTGTAACTAGACGAAAATAATTGTAATCGTATATTGATACTCGTTATCTGAGCTAAGCAAACACTAACCCACATGCCAAAGACCTTTTGTAACAGGGTGAGAGTTAGCTGAAGACAGCTGCCTTCAGTCACCAAACTTACCTTTTGCCTGGTTGAAAATGTAATCTCATTGTACAATACAAATAATTGTGTGAATAGTTTAAAATAAAAATAATCGCTGACTAGTTGACTACTGAATCTTAGTTGTGGTCCTGATAACTTATTTTTAATTAGAAACTTGTTTTGCTTTGCACTCACTGTTAATTACTAAATCCTTCAAGCTATTATAAATTGTTCTTTTATTTTACATGTAATTAAAATAATGCTTTGCTACTTCTGTAGTTCAGTTCTGTTTAAAGCCGCTAACCCACACCACCGAGTTCATTAAATGGCTGTTACTGATGCAACCACAAAGAAATGCTTGCACAGTTCCATCTATGCTCAGAGTTATTAATTGTGAGATGACAGATGATAAAATAAAAATACGTTGTTACTGATTTCTTATTGTAAACAACAGTCTTTAGTATAGGGTCCTGTGATTTTAGATGGAGCCTTTCCCCTCTGCTACATTTCATCTCTGTGTTACTGTTGACTGCAGAACCAAAGGAGGGGATTTCCACTTAGGATACTTCTTTCTTCTTAAAGTGATCTTGATATAAAGAGTGTGGCGCCGATGAGATTACAGTGAGTTATTGCTAACATAAAATTGGCTTTGTAGATTTTATGGTTAATTAACGCTGTCACAAGCAGGTAATGTTTACACATTTGTCTTTACCTGCGTAACACCATTGCTAATGTAATGGTCGTCTGATTGTTATTGTGAAGTACTTGATAAAATCTTTTTGTTATGTATGGTAATAATATCTTAATATTTTTAATTGCTCTAATAATGATAATCACATTATAATTTGCAGTCCATTACAAACGTTCTAAACAGTTTGTAACACTCTGTGAATGTCTTGGTTGAGGTTCAACTACTACGATGTCAGTAGCTGGTCAAATTGTGCAGAATTATCACCTTACAGACTTGTTTGGAAGAGTGACCTTTCTGTCCTTTTCTGCAGCTTTTCAACTGTGTCCTCATTTTTCACTCATCCATATACTCAGTATTGTAATTTTGTATATCTTAACATAGCTAATTTGATGTTGTCTATAATATATCTCCCAACTTTAGTTTTCAGTACTTTATTAATTCCTTTGCAAAATAATTCTGTACACAAAGGCAACAACTCAAAATGTATAGAATCACAAAATAAACAATAGTAACATGATGCAGACATTACTATACTATTTTTTTGTTAATTCACTGATGAAGCTTTCTAGTAAGTTGAGCATTTCCAGCTAGAACATATTCCTTAATGGAAGTGCATGCATCCTGTGGTAAAATATAGTACATGTATAGTGTGACTCATGCCTGCCTGCCTGTCATCTCTGCTGGAGTTTGAACTTGAATCCTTGCTGATCTTTGGTCCATGATGGAGAACACATTGCCAAATCCCACTGAATGGCTTTGACCGCCTTCAATCCCTCTGAGCTGCACTCCTGGGGTGGGATTGGCTGAGGAGACACGGCTGTCACTGAGGTGGTTACAGCGCGTGTGGTTTTACTTTCCTTTTGAGTGTCTGTTAGTGGCTGTGTGCGTTCTGTGTGAGTCATGTCAGGATAATATATGCTTGACAAAACTGAAACACTTGGACATAGATTTGTTGTTGGTGTCAGAGGAAAATGCTTTGTGTTAAGGAACACTGGAACCCTGAACTTCAGAGAGGGTAAGAATTTTTTTACAGAGGTGTTTTTGTTGATTTCTTATCATGGTATCTTTCATTCTTCCTTATTGGTATTTATTTGGTTTGGTGTGTATAAGCACAGGCTTCTGATGGATACTGTTAGCTAACGAAGCAATAGTGTCATGGGACCACTCTCGTGTCACAAATTTAAAGCTTAAGAGATGCTACAATTGTGTTGTTTTGTAGTTTCTTGTTTTTGATTTGCTAAATGTTCCCTTATTTTGATGTGTCATTTGATGTATTTTTATAGTTGATGAGTTTGTACATTAATGATCTCTTCTGTCTGCTTGTGTAGGCAATACCACCTGAACAGCAGCAGCAGCAGCACTCCAGTCCCGGAGGTGCACATGGACATGTACTCGGGCTTCTCCGATGTGGACTTCTCTGGTTTAGCCCTCCCCAGAAACGGAGACTTCACCCAGGTCAGTGCACTTGTCTTTTGGTTTCTCTTTAGGTTTTCTGAAGAGCTGTGTGGGAGGAGCAGCACTTTCATGTGCGGAGAGTGTAATACAGTCGTAAGCAGTAGGATTAAAGTCTAGACCGCTGTAGTTCTTTACCTGTACTAGACCTGTCCAGGCAAGACGTTCATCAAACAGAATGTCTTAGCCCTGTACTTCCACTTGCATCTTCAGAGATGATTGCTCATCCAGTGTCTCCGTTAAGAGTAAATATGCACAGTACTATTGTTGTGCACAGTGGGCTGTTTGACTCTTTGCATCTGTGTTGCTCTAAAAGCAATGCTTTGTGACTGGAGTCAGTTGTAATGACACACACCAGTGACTTTCTAATGTGAGGTCCATTTGTGGTGAGTTGATGAGGCTCTTATGGTCCAGTATTAAACACAATAGTGGTAATGATGAGTTTTCAGCAGGAGTCACGGGCGTGCACTTCACAGGCAGAGGAAGGCCCTGCTGGTCCTACTTCTGTACCAGGCCAGGGCTGTAAATATGTGTGAAACAAGTGGTGCGGAACCACCATTTAAATGTGCTCCATTATGCAGTTTTTCAATGAATAATGCATGTTTAATCAGTGCCAAATGCAAATCATCTGATTCTCCTAGGGAAATTCAATTTAAGTCATATTTATTATGGCTCAGGACAGAAGCAGGTTTTATGGATAGACCAAAACGTGTTAAAATATAACAAAATGTAAATTCATTGTTGTAATAAAAAGTGTGCACATTTGCATAATTTTACAGTAATGGGTAGTTAAACTTAGACTTAGACAAACTTTATTGATCCACATGGAAATTATTTTAATCCACAAGGGACCTAAGGTACTAAGAAGAAAGCCGCTATTCGGAGGGCTTTAGGTTATCACTTAGTTTGTTACAAAAGGTAAGATTAAATTTAATTTGCCCAATACTCAACCACTTCTTATGACTTACACATCTCTTGTCAAAGTACTATTTTTCTCACTTTTCATCACATCTAATCATGTGTGCATAATGTTAAATGTCAGCCTTAATAGTCTATTTCTGTTTTTATTTTTTTGTTTACTTTAATGTGGGTACAAAAAAGGATATTATCCTGATGTAATGCCACACCATGACCTAAAGGATAATAGCGGTAGTTTGTTTACTAGCTAGTAGTGGTGGGTCGGAACAAAAGGGCTCTTAGAGCCGGCTCTTTGAAGCGAACGACAGGAGCCTGCTCCTTATTGGGAGCCGTGTTTTCTCTTTCTCACTTTTTTCAGACTCATGGTAGTTTGACAGCGGGCAGCTGCTGAAAACGAAACTTTCAGAAATATGCGTGTGCATAGGATAGAAAAAATGTGCATGTTTAGCTGTAGTTCAGCATAAAATAAATAAACCAGGACTAATCTTGGGCTCGAGAGATGGAGAGAGATAGAAACTGAGTCTCGACACAATCCTGGTTCAGTTCTGGTTTAGTCCTGTTTTGCACATGGTTTAGATCTGTTTTAGTCCTGTTTAGTCCTTTTTCAGTGCTGATTCAGTTCTGCTTTAGACCTGCTTTAGACCTGTTTTAGACCTGGTTTAGTCCTGCTTGCAACAAAACAATCTGAAGAGCCGCTTGGGAGCTGAAAGAGCCAGCTGCTTTTAGTGAGACGAGCCAAAAGAGCCGGGTCTCTAAAAAGAACTGGAATACCCATCACTAGTAGCTAGAATGTGATGCAAAAATGCCATTAGTCCAACCTACTGTCTGTAAATATGATGCAAAGAGTCAAAATAACAATAAATGCCTAAATAAACCCAATTTAAAATCCACCAGGGACATACCTAAGTTTTTTTAAACAATTCAAGATTTACAGTGAGTTTTTACATCACTAAATATATCGGCGATTATATTGGCTATCGGCAGCTCCAACTCCCTTTTTATCGGTATCATATCGGCCACAACAAAATCCATATTGGTCGGACCCTAGTGTGTATATTTGACTATTAGACAGATTGGCACCAGATTAAGGAAACAGACTGACAGCCACACCATATTTTTACTTCCTGTTTGCCGTTCAGGTGTGGTGTATTTTGCTTGTGGAAATATACTAGCATTATCGGTATTTTATAAGAGGAGGATTTTACTAGTCCACAGTACACACTGGTAGTCCTTGTCACATGACCTGTGCATCGTCATGGGGATTGTGATTCATCTGGGTTTTCCCTTCTTTTCTCTTCCTAATATGTCTACTTCACTCTTCTTTTATTTATATAAATCCTCCACAAATATAAGATTCTGTCTGTATTCTTTGTTCAAACACAGAGGAACCCTTTCCCTTATATTTTGTGTGGTAAAGTTGATTCATTAATATATTTTAGGGTAATTATTTACAGTTGTGCTAATTGTATAAATAAACTGAGGACTTAATGCATAGTAGTACAAGGTTCCCATTGTCTTGGAAATCCTGGAAAAGTCATAGAAATTGAAAATGTAATTTTCCAGGCCTGGAAAAGCCATGGAATTTAGTAAATTCAACGAAAGTTTTAGAAAAGTAATGGAATTCTTTCATATTTCTTCCACACAACTACAGCTTTCTGTTAAAGTTATTATTAGGCTATTACGATTATTTCCGAACGGATGCGCCTTTTGTGTAAAGAGACTGCAATAAATGCTTTTGATGACAGTATTTTGATTAAAAAAATCTATAATACCACACCATAAGGTGAGTGGAAAGGGTTAAGATTTCATGGAAAAGTTTTGAAATTTTGTCAGTGAAAAAGAGTGGGAACCCTGGTAGTAGTCTTTACTATTGCAGTAAGAAACTGATGATGAGCCTTAAATATTTGTTACTATGGAAAGAATGTACAAAATATAATCATTTACTTTTATCTTTTAAGAGGAAACACTTGTTTTTCCCCTTATTTATTTTTAGCTGTAGTTAATTTTGAAGTTTTATTTTGGAGAAATGGCTGAAATGTTTTGATCTGGATGTGAGAATTAGTTGCTCACATTTCTGCTTTCTCAGCTGTGCCTCCCTCCTCCACGTGAAGCATGCAGGCAGAATGTAAGTCATGGGAGCATCGTGACTAACTCTACCTCACCCCTGCCCTCCCCCTTGACACATGTGGCACTGTGTTGTCGACATGTCCCAGAGGTGATGTCATAGTTTGAGTCCTGGTCCTTCGATCAGCTGTTTCTCTCACACAATTTCAAGTGTTACTGTGTAGTTTCATAGGTTATTTGTTCAGTAAAGAGCATTGTTCAAATATCCCTGTGTGCTGCCCTACAGCACGTGGACAGGAAGTTTATCCCCTGGAAAGATGAAGAGTCCAGAGATAGTTTACATTATGAAGAGTTAATATTGTCCCGTGTATACTAGGCCATCCCTGTGGAAATATCAACTGCTTAATAATAATAGTCTGAATGAAATAGATATGAGAGATTATTATGAGGCTTTTATGTGCGCTTTGATTTATGGTTTGTTCCTGGAAACCATTTTAGAAGTCCACTAATAAACAATCTTAAATTGTCATAAAATAATTTATATTTACTCAAATACAACAGTTCAGATGACCAGTCCCAAATATATGCTTATCATTATCACGTTTAGTTATAGTTAAATTCTATAATCACTGCTAGGGCTATTATTTTTCATCAGCATAAGTACTTTAAATTTAATATTTTTTTGTGAAATTTATCATTTTTGTAAAATGAGCTATAATGAGCTAGCTATAAAGGTTGAGTAATGCTTTTCTATATCTTCTGAGCATCCAGTGACATACTGTAAAAAGACCTTGTTCTACCAGAGTAGTGTCATACCCACCATACACACCTTCAGACAGGTCACAAATAGAATACAATACACTCAATACACACACCTTTATTAACAAGCCTGCATAATTACCTGTTCTACAAAAAGAGATTGCTAGGTAAGATAGAAAAGTTCACTGTAAAGTCATGTACAGCTGCTGACCACAGTGCTTTCTGCGGTTCTTGCAGCACTTTGTCTGAATCTAAACGAACACACTTTTCTCAAGTTTTCATGGTGTAATTTGTGGATTTTAAAAAAGTCAGTATTTTTACAGATCAGTGAAAACAGAGATTACTGGAAGAGTCTAAACCCAAAGTCATTCTCTAACCACTTTGGCTAACCTCAGAGCGTGAACATGGCCCCTCGGCCCCCACACACTATACACTCTCATATGGCTGGAACTCTCACTTTCTCCGCCTTACCACTTCATTAGTTTAGTGCAGCGGTAGGAAGACGTACATTCATTTCTTCATAAACACCATTTTGGAAAATAACATCTAACCTTATTTGTTTTGACTGGTCACATCTTGGATGCTGGAAAAAATTCCTATAAAAAGATTGGTTGTGTATTCTGGGCATATTAAAAATCCAGTTTGTCTGGTTTGATTTCATTGGAGCGTGACAGAAAGCAGCCTGTGGACAGGATTTACTTCCTTATGAGATACTTGAATATCGCCTACTTTGTGCACTGCCACAGGTTGAAGAAGGAAGTTAATCAACTGCACTTTTTTTATTCAATGGGACTGAACATACGAAATGGCCATACTAATTTATTTAGCATTCTTTGCACTTTGGTGATCATTGTGAAAGCAATTGTGGTTTGATTCCGCTCAATTGTGCAGCCCTACTGTACATCACATGTTGTTCAAATGAGTCTTCTTGTACCAGAGAAGTCTGTGAATGGAATGTCTTAAAGCAGTGGTGTTTTCCCTAGGTTCATTTCCCCCTGATAACAGTGATGTAATGAGGTAAATGTGTTAGCGGCGCTCTTAAGGACCTCATTAATAATTTATGTCCAACCTCTCTGTGAGCGTGGTCCCCTCACACACACACACACACACACACACGCACACCTACACACACACACACACACACACACACACACACACACACACACACACACACACACACACACACACACACACACACACACACACTTCATTGGGAGGATTCCCACTCTTTGTCCATGATGACACCACGGACAGGCGCCACAGCGTCTCCAGCCTCTGTCTCCTTCGTCCAGCGCAGATGGACATGACGCTACCACCTTACCGTCCTCCTGCGCAGTCACATCTTCCAGGAAGCTCTGCAAATGGGCACCCTATAGGCTTCTGTGGAACCAGGCAAATCATGTTATTTCTGTTAGTTAAATACCACAATTTTCTCATTGATAATGGCAGCTTGAAAAATTACTTTTTTCAAGATGACAAATCTGGTGTCCAAACACTGTTTTTGATCAGCCTCTATGGGTTGTTGACATGCCCCATTTGCCATTTGTTTCTCAGAATATTCATCTTCTAAACTGCATCTTTTATTCCAGTCATACTGAAAAATAATTACATTTGTTAGATATAAAGTGCTGCTTAAAATCTTACTCAATAAAATACTTCAAATAATCCCTGTTCTATCTGTGCAGCTGTCTGTCACATGAATTGACCAAAAGTATATATTTAAAGTAATCTTTTGTCAAAGCTTGCTTTTAAGCACAGGGTCTCAGCTCTCCAGTCGACTAATTAGCTGAATTGTTAGCTTCCTCATTAGCGCTAACACTTCTAGTCTATCGATCTTTCTATTAATCTTTGGTCATTAGCAGAAGAGCGGCTGAAGAGATGATCCCTGCATAGACAGAGATGGACCCCAAGCAGAGAATGAAGTCCTAAAGTCATTCTCTAAATATAATAATCATTAAGCAGTGGCGCAGGCCCATTAAAGTTAGCGGGGTGTGAGCCACGGCTAGCTCCTCAGCACAACACTGTTTACACTACAAATGCGGTTGAGTTACACCATGTACAGTAAAATGGGCCTGACTGCCAGTAACTCTAGTCACTTACCAACAAAAGCATCATTTCCTGAAAGCTCCTCCCCTCCACCCTCCCTCTGCTGCCCTGCTCTCCCCTCCTCCTCCCTTCTCGCTCTCTCACTCACTCTCTCACCAATCACACTCCACAGCACCTTGAGCGCACAGGGACTCGTCCACTATCACTATGACTGAAGCGCTATGCAAACACCTGAGTATCCTTGTATGAGCTGGTGAAGCAGGAAGCATGCAGTAAACCAAAGACCAGAGGAGAGAGAGAGTGAGAGAGAGAAAGGGGGGCTTCAGGCAGATGTGACACAGGAGAGACCCAGGGACAGGGCCCGAACATCACATGGACAAGGTGTGAGTGCCGAGCTGCGCTGGACCCATGTCTCTCATGCACTTTTGGACTAAACTGTACGCACAACTGGGACGCCCGCTGCCTAAGGTACACCCACCCATAGGGCTCACGATTGTTTGGCTCATACTTGAAATCATGAGTATTTAAAGAAAAAAAACAACAACTTGCGTACTATCAAAAGTTAACATGCAGAGAATGATTATTATTAATTAATAACGTGTTATGTTTTAAAGCCTCTTTGTGGGGCAGAATGAGTGCCTATATAATTTAGAAAAGGACTCTAACTCTCCAGAATTTTGTACACAATTTGGTTAATTGTCCAGACCTACCACTCTCAATCAGAGCTTCACACCACTGCTTCTCAAACTGTGATTTGGTTACCTTTGGCGTTATTTTTAAGTCATTTTACCTGTTAACATTTGATGCATGCAGCCAAATACTTTCTTGGTATTTGGTATGAAAACTCTGAGAATTTTTTAAACTCATATTTGACCAAAAGGTTATTACAGCATTATTTTATTCTGCGCCGGTCCTCAGTGTATCACAAGCTTCACAAATATAACACGTTATTGCTGGTATTTGCATCGAACTCTTTTTGAGCAGCAGTTGTTTCAATAGTCTACCGTGTCAAAGAGTAATTAAAGTGAACTTCCTTGACTGAATTCATTTCCTTACAGTAACTCATTTGTTTGATCTTTGTCTTCCTCTTGTATCAAATATCCAACATAAGTTTGAAACACAGTTAAGTTCAATGCCTGGGCCTTGTCCTGTGGATGTGTTGGGGCTCGCATGTGCGTTAGTCACCCCGTGCTCCTCTCTCATTCCTGGCCAGGAACTATGACAAATGATGGTCCACCTCACTGCTGGCTTCCAGTAAGTGCGCCTGCCTGATATCTTGTCAAGTTAAGCGCCACTCATCGCAGCGCTGCATAGGCCCACTTTTGTTTGTAAATCATTGATCAGATCACTGCTATTGACTTCAGTGCACCCTCTCTTGGATTTCTTTTCTCTTATACGTAAATATCAGTGACCGTTTTCATGTAAAACTGCAGAGTCAGCAATTCTTTCAAAAAAAAAAACCCAAACAATACAACAATCTGGAACAATGGTACTTTTAGGCTTCGGCTGAAATTGTAGTGCTATATCTCAGCAAACCCCTAGACAGAGTTTTACAGCTTGGCAGCGTCATGGTGGTCTACACACATTGTTTCCTGGTATTGCATTAAAGTGTGACTTTGCCATGCAGCTTACGGGAAGTCAATAAACAGTGCTAGTGAGGCATTTCAACAGGAGTGAAAGGGGAAGAAAATGCAATGAAAAGTGCAATTATTTTAAAAAATTGTATTGTTTGAGATATAAATTGTTTAGCTGGAAAAAAATGAAGGATTTACTTTTAATCTCAAATAACTTTTACCATACTATATAGAAATTGAATGATATGGGTTTTTTGTAGCCGTTGCTGATACTGATTGTTTACTATACAGAGCAACGGATGACTGATAAGCTCTGCCAAAATATTTTGGCCGATAAGTTGGACCGGTTTTGATTATTTTCCCCAAATTAATAGTTTAAATTCACCACAAACCTGTAAGACAGCTGCCTAAGACAGCTATCTTTTTGTATTAAAGTGTTCATACAAAGCCTTTTGTGTATTTTTTTAGGCAGTGACCAAAAGAAAATATCAGTCTATGTTGAAGATTTTGTCCATAGTCAATTATTGACCCGATATATCATATCTCTAGTACTATACACGTTAAAAACGTTAAGGTGTCTATAATATCATATAGGGAGGTATTTGATAAATAAAGCACATTTCAAAAATATTATTAACATTACCAGTGCCAAGCAGTATTACAGAAGTCTTTTAGAAAACTCTGACATACTTGTTTATATATGTGTGTGTGTAAAAAAAAATATATATATATATATATATATATATATATATATTATTATTATTATTATTATTTTTTTATTATTATTATTTTTTTACAAGACAACTTGTATAAACTGTGTCCAGATTTGTACTATGTAGGGCCTGTATTTTTATTCTTAGTTTATGTGTTTCATTTGTTAGAATAAAATGTTATTGTAG